ATTGGGTCTCAGGCCCGTCGATTTCAGCTTCTGAAAGAAACACATTGCTTTCTCTCCATGGCCTTCTAAAGAATATCCTTTGATAATTGCAGCCCAAGAAGCCAATTCTGGTTCTTCTATATCTGAGAAAGCAATATAAGCTGATTCCAGATCACCGGAATTCACATACATTTCAATAGTTCCGGCTTCAACAAAGGAATCCAACAAAAGACCATTTTTGAGGGAAAGACAATGGACTTGCTTAGCCACCTTCAAATCTTCCAGTCCAGAACACGCACTTAACACAGTGGACAGCACAAACTCATTAAGCACCAGAAGTTGTTTTCTAGCCCTCAACCATATTCTCAAAGCCTCCCCATGCTCTCCAAATTGAGAATAGCCAGAAATTATGGAGCTCCATGAAACTAAATTTGGCTGCGAGATTTGATCGAACACCTTCCGGGCTGAACAAACAAAACCACATTTTGAATACGAATTCACTAATGAATTGCTCACAAATCTATTTGAGATAACATTTTCAAACCTGTAAACCCTTCCATGAATCTCCTTGCTTGCCTTGACAGCTCTAAGCCTTGCACAAGCGGATATAACGCTCACATAAGTGGTATCATTGGGTTGGAAACCACTCGAAACCATTAATCTGAAGCACTCGATTGCTTCCTTTGCAGAGCCTATTTTGGAATGAGCGTTTATAAGTATAGTCCAAGAGACGACGTTCTGGTTAGGCATTTGGTCGAACACCGAGCAAGCATCATCCAAAAGCCCGAAACTTTCGTACATAGACATCAAATGATTGCTAGTGATGACATCCGGGAGCAGAGAGGAGACTATTATCTTGCTGTGAACAATCTTTCCTCTTGAGATGTTCTTCGTATCTGCCACAGCTCGGAAGAGGGACGATAAGACCATGGCAGCGTGGTGGAATTGGAAGACAGGTTTTCGGTCAAAAGCTTGGGCTCAGATCTCGAATGCATTTTTTGGGAGCATTGCCAAGGCTGAGGCTGATGAAGTTGAAGGTGTAGTATCTGAAGTATATATATTCTATCATATATGTATATATATACCAAACACCAACAATAAAAATAAATTATAACAACAAAATATTAGGTATGAAATTCACATGCAAGTAAATATTTTGTATAAATATATCATGCAATATTGTATCCATATATTATTATATTTAAGATTAAATATAATTCAGTAACATAAATTCGTGAAGCAATCAAACACCTTCTTAATAAATTTGGGATTTTACATAAACAATTTAATTCAAGTACTATAAACTTCAAGTTCAATAGAACTTTATAATGTATTTATAAATTTTTATATTGAACACGATTTTTTCAAATCCCTCTCAACACCGCTAATCTTGAACATGACCCCTCCAATCTGAACTCGAGGCGCTGAACCACTCCCTCGGCCGCGAGAGGCCGATCGAGCGATAGGAAGAGGCCGGCAGCTATGGGCTCAGCGGCATCATCCACTTCCACGGCTGGCGACCATGGCGGAGTCCGAGAGAGCAGGAAGAAGGAGGCGCTGGATTGGCTGGAGTGGGGAAGAGGGTGGCTATACGTCGTGGGGGAGTTCTTCTTTCAGAGAATTTCAGCCAGCCATCTTGAGAATCCATTAACCTTACCTCACCTCGATGGCTTTACTTGCATCGTCACCGGCTCCACCAGCGGAATCGGCCTCGAGGTTGCCAGGTATTTCTTCTTCCCGCTGCTTTGCGGCCTTAATTATCTCAATTTTTACGGAATCTGCTCCTATTTTTCAGTTTTTTTTTTCCGTGTTTTCAGTGATAAATTGACGTTTCATATGTGGATTTCGTGGGTTATTTGCATGCTCTGGATTTGCTTTGGTAACCTCAAGATATTGAAAATTATTCCCTACTAATTCTGCAAGCATTACTTCCTTCATAGAACTTAAGCAAGAAAACTTCTCAAATTTTCATCGAAAATGAGCTTTATAGCTCGTTTGAGCCTCTAAGAGTAACTAACCGTTAGAAAATAGATGCAGGAAATAAACTTACTAGGAGGAACAAATGTAATATATATATTGAGATAAGTCTCTTCTATGTCATTTAAGAGGGTTAATTCATGATTGTTTCGTCAACATTAACAAGCGCGTGATACGTTCTTTGTTTCGATCACTTATGTTTAGGTTTCGTAGCCTCTTTGTGATGGATGAGATTAAGCAGACAATTAAGACGTGGATAAATGTTTTTTTCTATGAACTGCACTCCAATATTGTTTTACAAATTCATGTTTACTGACGAAGCAATTATATTTGACATTCCGTATTTCATTTTCGTTAATTATGGGATAATCTTTGCTGAAGTAGGCAACTTGCCGAAGCAGGAGCACATGTTGTTATGGCTGTAAGGAGAATGAACATAGCATATGAATTAATACAGAAGTGGCAGAATGACAAAGAGGGCTTGTGTTTACCCCTTAATGTTGAGGTGTGGAAGCATCTAGATAGAAGGCTTTTACTAAATTTACATTACATACAAGTAGGGAAACTTCATTTATATTTTTTTCATATATAAAGCTCATGTATCTTTATTTTTCTTTTTGTTTAAGGTAATGGAGCTTGATCTTCTCTCATTAGATTCTGTCAGGCAATTTGCCAAAGCTTGGAATGCTCGACAAGTAGCAGTACATGCCTTGATCAATAATGCTGGTATTTTTACCTTGGGAGGTTGGTGTGAATGATGATGTTAGTTTTAGTTTATTCATTTAAGTATTTTTCAGTTGACTTTATTGAACCTGAACTTTGATTTGTGTTGTTCATATGCATCTTATGAGTGCTATTTAGGATTTTTTGCTGTTTGTCTAGCTATATAGTTTGTTTCACTCTAGCAAATTATTTCATACACTTTTCACCATGATCATAGTTTGATTCTTGGAGCTTATAATATTTGCTTACACATTGGATAAAGTTATTTGTTTTATAAACTCACTTCCCAGTAAAAATGCAAAAATGATCCCAACAAACTTCTCTTTAGTAAACTAAACTAAAAATGTCTCTTTAGTTTGTGCTTTTTTAAAATTATTTTAAAGTGGCAGTTTCTTTTGATCAGAATGCTATGGGAAGGAATATCAATTATCCAAGCTAAATATTTTGCTAAATGGATGTTTTATTTGAAACTTTATTTCTTGACTTGCATGAGAAAAGTTTTTTTTTTTCTCTTGTCGCACATTTTATATAAAATTGTAAATGCAATAGCATGAATTGTATTGTCAATGATCATTTTTTACTGCAGGCCCATAAGATTTTATATCTTTACATACTGTTGTTTGTTTGGATATTTTAGATCTTTAGATGCTGTTGTTTGTTTGGATATTGGCTTTGTCATGCCAGAAGCATGATAAAATATCTCTGTAAGAACTAATTATTTGTGTCTTGCTTACATTAGAGCCACAGCGTTTTTCAAAGGATGGGTTTGAACAACATATGCAAGTGAACCATTTGGCTCCGGCATTATTGTCTATGCTGCTTATACCATCTCTTCTCCGCGGTTCTCCAAGCAGAATAATTAATGTGAATTCCATTGTAAGTTATATATGGATCAACTTGAAAGTTGCTTGAATTGTTTTCATTAATGGGACTTTAGTTATGTTTAATTATTTAGTAATAGTGAAGATATTTAATATTTTATTACAATAAAACCTAGGATAATTATGACTAACATATTTAATTTGTACCTTTCAAGATGTGCCATTAACTGTATGATTTTTCGAAATTTTCATCCTTAGACTCTATTCATCAACTAGTTTCTGCATGATTCATTAGATGTTAGGGTAAATTGGGTGATAGTTTTGTGATGCATGCTGAAGTATTTCTATTTGCATGTGACCTTTGTGTGTGTTTTGGTGGTGATGTTGATGGGGATGAATGGGTCATTGAATGCATGCTAGTATATTTGTGGTGTGAGCGATACTATGTTTATCTCTCAAACCAGATAAACTATAATCCATCTCTTTAAGATTCTTCTTTTTTCCCTCATGGCCTGTCTCTTTTTTAATTTTAGAAATGGCCACTTGAAGCTACATATTTCTATGATCTCTTATAAGTGATTGCATTTAAGTTATTGTAATCTTCATATATATATTAATATGCTTCATTTTACATGAAATATAATAATCTATCGTTTCATGTGGGAGATTTATGCCATGTATCTTCTAATAGCTAACTATTAATCTGTGAAGCTGCCATATTGCACATCTTGTCCTGGGGTTAAAATATTAGCCAAGTTAAAATAGCTTTTTTGTTTTTGGAACTGCCGAGCTGAAACCTGTTCTAGAACACTTAATAAGCTATTAACTTTTACTAATTCAGCTTTAAGCTGTATTATTGAAGGTTGACTTTAAGGACTGCTTAATGGAGCCGAACAAGGTGATACCACTATATTTTTGCCTAATAATTCTGTTCATTTTTCTTTCTTCTAGTTTAATGAGACTAAGAACTTTCAAGGTCTAAGTTTACCAACAGGAAATGCTGCATGTAATAACCTGTTATGGCATGGTAATTTGCAGGCATTTTGCTGTATTTTTTATTCATTTTGGTTGAAATTTTTTATATCAAGAAAATTTAGCTTTTATGTTGTTTAATTTCCTGATTTTTGCATTTCTCTTTTCCAGATGCACGTTGTGGGTTTTGTCAACCCAGAAGACATGAATATTACTTCTGGCAAGAGAAAATATACAAGTTTGGCAGGATATTCAAATAGTAAGCTGGCACAGGTAAAGAAAATCAAATTATTGTAGCCGACTAGTTCCCTTTTTAAAGAAGTACAACTCCTGCTCATCATCGTACTTCTGCATAATTGATCTGAATTTGAATTTGCTGAAGGCTTATGAAACTTGTAAGATGTATCTGGAGTAGGTGAATTAGAGTTTCTATTTGAGGGATAATGATTTTCGTATTATTTTTCAAACCAAAATAGTGTGTTAACTTTCGATTTTTTTGCAAAATAGGGGGCAAAACAGTAGCAAAATGTGCTGGAAGGTTCTGACAGCTTGGATTGAACTTAATTGACTATGTAACTACAGGAGTTGTAGGACGACACTCGCCTGAACTAGGCTTTCTCCAAATTTAATTCCTATGGCTATAGGGGTGGGAGACACCTCCCGCAATTGTTGAACAGTTGAAATAGAGAGAGGGAGAGGGAAGCTGGGGTTATTTGTAGGAAAGGAGGAAGTTTTATGAGCGAGAAGAAAGATTTCATTCAATTAATGCATGAATAATGATTTCATAATATATATTTATTTCTATCTATAGAGATCCAAGAAGTATTTCAAAAGCTATCCAAGTTCAGAAAAAAATTAAAAATAGGAACTACACTTAAATAGTAATTTTTCTTTGTACATTCACTCTTCAAAATGTGTTTGCCCTTAGGCTAAGGAGTGGAATTTGTTGAGGGAAGTTTATTATATTCTCTTTAACTATTTTTTATATCTCCTAACTTATTATCCTTCTTTGGAATTTGTTAATATTTTTTAGAGCCTTCTAGATCACAGCTTCCCATTTTTTTTTATTTGCTCTATCAAATATAAGCTCCTCTAATTTTTTCTCTTGGATTTATGCTTTAATCTTTTTTTTCATTCTCCTTGTAACCGTAAGTTTCTAAGTAGGCTAGGATTTCTCATTCTCCATCAGTTGACGTTGATCAATATTTACTCTTTACTTCTTATTAGGTTCCTTCAGTTTGGTTGCCCTTCTTCATTTCCTTTGAAATATTAACGGTAGTTTGATAGGCTCTATACTTTTTTTCCTTCTTTGTAAGTATAAAAGTTTTCTATCTCAACTTATCCATTCCTTAGATATGAACTACTTAGTATTTGACGACATACTTCCAATGATATAACATTATGTACCACATTATTAATGAAATTTCAAGTAAAAACAAACATAATAAGACATTATCTAATGACCTAACAAACATTACTTAAAAAAAAAAAATTAAGAAAGAGATTTTGAATGCTAGTAGTGACTAATTCCAATCATTCAACCGAAGTTGTAGAGTAAGATTTTTCGTTTCTTGGATAGATGATAGCATTGATGAGCATAGGTTTCACTTGAAGTTTAGGTGGAAAAGCTTTTCCCTAGTTTTGTCACTGACATGTGCCTAGAAGCTCAATGATAATTTTGGATCTACGTTTTTTTACTCTTATTTTAATTACTTATTCTAAAATTATATTGACAAATTTTTTTCTATCTTACCTTTTTTGGTTTTTATTTGAATTTAAATTTTTGCAATATTTAAGCTTTGTGGTAGATCCAAAAACTAAATGCATGGAATATAAGTTTAATAGTAGTAGATCAAGTTGCAGGATTATAACTATGAGTGATCAAGTCATTAAAATAAGTGAACGTTTTTTATATCTTGGGTCTATTGTTCAATGCAATTGTGATATAGATGGGGATGTTATTAGTATAATTCAAGTTGAATGGTTGAAGTGGAGGAATGCATTGGGCCTATTGTGTGATAGAAAAGTTTCTCTTAGACTTTAAGGAAAATTTTATATGATGGTGGTGAGACCTACAATGCTTTATAGTGGAGAATGTTGGCCCACAAAAGCGAAGCATAAAACTAAGTTTTGTGAGAATTCTTAGGTGGATGAATGACTCTACACTTAGAGATAAAATGCGAAACGAATATATATGTGATAGGGTTGTGCTAGCTCCAATGGTAGACAAGATTAGAAAGAGTCTGTCGGTCGTTTTATTGTTCAACTTGACTTTCGTAGTTTGAAAATGTGATGATTTTGTGATTTTGAAAATAATATAAATATAATTTTTTTTTTTTTTTTAAAGAAGTAACGTT